CGAACACGTGACCGCGTAAAAGGTCGGATTTACCACTTCGTCTATGGCTGTGTAATGCGCGTGGGCGCTGTGGATCATCCTGGCGCAACTCAAAGTTCGCCGACGTGAATCCTAGCAGAGAGCCGCCTCGTGGTGCATGGTTAGCCTGGCATTGATTTTGCTCAGAGGCTATACTGCTTGAATTTCGAATGTAGGCACCTGGGCTCGAGGGCAGACAATCAAGAAGCGCAGTGGATGACGTCCCTGGACACAATCGAAGTGCATCAACAGATGGTTGAGGTACCTTGGTACGCAAAGGCCACGGCTGCACGCAATACTACTGCGATAAACGTTGAAGGTGCGGGTATCAACATCGGGCGGTTTGAACGATCCAAGTAGAGTGGGACTACGATGACATTCGGTCCAGATAGACTCACTTTCTCCAAGTCCCGACTTCAACGGGAAACCACAGCGCGCACTATCGGACACTCGCCGAAACGAATGCACAGCAGCATTAGCGATCGCACGGAACCACCTTCCATGTGAAGCCCACGTTTCAGCAAGATCGACAGAGGTTCGGCTTCTCCACTTTATCCGCATCCATTGGTCACTGTAAGACGTCGTGGGCGACATGAGGAATGTTGCTATTGTGCTGCACAGTGCATTGCCTTGACAAGATGCTCAGCCTATAGACGCCGAGCGCGCGGAAATTCACCAGTTGCGGGAACCGTCGGATCCGCCACAGGCGCTCCGTCGAATAGATACTTGGCGAGCGATCGACAGCCAATCTCATTATTGTGTTTGTCCGAGGACTATCCAAGTACATCAAATCCGTCCGGCGTAGTACCAGTACACGGAAGATTATGATGGAAGGAGGTTCCGTGTCCTGTCGCAGGGCCTCCACATCGAGCTGTAAAGATGATACGTGATGAAAGCCTGCGCTTCGTTCATTCGCCGATGTAATGACGGGAAAATAGATCATTTTGAATCCAGATAACCTGTGCAAGTATGTCATCAGCAAAGCGCGCGAGTCCGAGCGGCGCGAGTCCGCGTACCTTGTTAATAGCCGCCACGGCGTCCACCTTCGTCTGCATGCTGGCTGTCTCTTCCGGTAGTCGTAAAATAGCGGTCTGAAGAATGTTTTGCACAAACCCAAGAGTCAAGGCACAATCTCGATCTGTGCTCGGAGGTGAGCTCCTCGAACAGGTTCCGCGAGGCTATCATTGCTCACAAGGCACGTTTAGTGGAGCGATGCCCATCGTCCGCTGGTGTTTGAATGGGGAAACCCCCGTGTGCATGATACCTACTTTATCCATGTATGCCCATGTCTTGCCACTTGAATAATCCGCCGTTAGAACGCGCCGCGCCCAGGCCTTCATGAACACCTGTGACGCGATACTCAGAGTCTATCTCGGTAGTTATTCTCGAGCTACGCGCCTTCCGGAACACAATCTGTGCGCTGTCAAGTGCCAAATCTTCCAGCTTCTCTGGTAATGGCCCGTCAAACCCCTGCATTCAGAATGTCAACACAAGCATCAATGCATCGCATAGGGTGCGTACATGATTCCGAGTCATGAAAACCTTCTTCGTAATATCGAATTCAAATAGCTTCGCGTACATGTCGTCTACCAGGCTCGGAATAATATCATGTACCGATGGCGCGACCTTGAGGATCACATCTTGGTCGTGGGAGGTAAAGTTCAGAAAATCGGTGAGGTATGCGATGCGGTCATCGAGAGAATTCTTCAGCAGGATCGGGTCGACTTCTTGGGTGAAAACGGGACATGTGAACCCCGAGGAAGAAGACTGTAACGGCGTCCGAGAGGAATCGGAGGCAGCCGACGACTGCGATCGTGAGTCCTCAGAAGAAGTATCCGATGCAGTCTGCACTCGTGTTGGGCTGTACGAATGCGGGGCTATAGACTCGAGTTGGACAGGCATGAGAGGCGCTATGCGAAGTGAGCACTATGCAAGAGCTGCGTCCGTTGTGCGGTGAGGAGTGGTTGATAGATGTACACCGACTCTATAGGCTTTTATGAAGAGCGGGTGAGTGCTGTCTTTCCGGGAGACACAGGATGTGACAGCCATCACCATGGTAAGCTACGGGTCGAGAGCAGAAAATCTTAGGAGTAGGTCGACCGAGCCACAGTCGAGGACGAGTGAGAACGGTCGAGACCGTGGCCGTGAGGCGCGCCGACGAGCGCTGCGCCGCTGTCCCGCCCCTGCGCCATCGTCACGGGGACAGCCACACGATGGCTCGCCACGGCGCCTCGACTCCGAGTCTGACCGCTGAGCGCTGCCCACTGGCACTCGGGGCCCATCATCTAGTATTGAGGTATCTTCTGGTGGAGAGCTGTTCATACAAACATTCTTGCTGCCCGTGCAGAATTGTTAACCATGGCCATGTCGTGACATTCAACTCTAGATCTGCCAAAAAAAGCCCTTCGAGGAGGAAGAAAATTTGGGGATTCATTCATAAAACATTAAATCATGCGTACGTTGGCACAACCAGATGGGTGTAGCAACCTCGGGCATGGAATTACAAAGAGAGAGTCCAGTTCGTTGTCACGAACCAGCCACTAACTGGTGTCCTCGATGACGCCACCTTTGCGAAAGTTTGCAGTGCTGCGGATTATCCCAAACGCAGCGACCGCCCATAAACCAACATGTTGGGATTGTGACGTATCGCAAATCACTCAGTCCGTAGGTGCATTCTCCTGGTAATGGTTTTGAATATATCCGTGCATTATTGACCCAGACAGGCTATACCACCATCCCAAATGCGGAGGCAGAGTGAGTGAGGGGAAATATCTGGAAATCTATTTGGTGAGCCTCTGGGTTGGCCTTGTAAAGCTGAGTGTGCTAGCCACGAATTCATTACGAGTAGGCTAAGGACACCCCAAGTATCTCGGCGCGCCGCGTCAAGCGTGTGCTATTTCTGACCGTATCAACGCCCAGTCATCGGTGCCAAACCATCCATATACGACTCAAACATCTGGGATGGCGATAAGCTCTAGCACGAACAAACCACCCATTCATCGGTGATCGGTAATTACAGAATACATGTTCAAAGATTGTTCCTTGAACCATATATGTTTCATTTTTCTCAATAACTACTTTTCCTACTCTATTGTATTAGTGCCCACAAAACCTCCTTGGTTTTCTGCAAATCTTGGATACAATTTACCTATGTCACATCGATCCTCGCACACAATTGCACTTGCATGATTGCAATGCCCACCGTGCCACTGGCACCCGCAAACCTGCGTTCTATTGTGTGCATCACGTGTACGTGCGGATCGAAGGAGGAAAGCATTGTTAAAGTTGGTACGCAGCCTCGACCGTGGCGGACATGAGGCAGCAGCGACGTCTTTGCCAGTCATTTCCCCGAGACACGCCGCCGCCTTGTGGTAACGTATAAGGCTTGCCCGTCTCCCGTCCTCTGACTACACCCTTCTCGTCACAATCTGTCATGATCGATATCGAATGGGATACGGTGAGCAACTCCAGAGTCTTTCCTCCGTGTTTGCATCTCCTGCTGATACGCCCTTCCCAGCCAGATCCGAGCGGTAGCCGATATCGCAACCGCAAGGCATCCACGATTCATGGATGGGTTACCAAGCTCCGCGGGACTCTGACAGGCAACGAGCGCGTCAGAAGTCGCGGCATTAGGGAGATGAAGCACGCGCGTGCTATCCGGAAGTACAACAAGGCCAGAAAGGCCGGTGACAGTGGGCGAGGAAGCAGGCGAGGTAGTGACAGCATCATGTCCTGGTTCTCCTTTTGGCCCACCAGAAGCAAGCAGCCGTCTCGGATGCAACTTGCGATCCATCGCGATTATGCGTCTGGGAGGAAGGGGGGTGGCAACACCAATCGCTCTTACTCTTCCCGTCGTTCGAAACCACAGCATGATAACCACGGAGCGCAGAAGAGCCACTTGACACGGAATACTGAACACATTCAGCCGCCAAACGATATGGAGCGAGACGCTCAGAGGGGGCGCCACAAGGAGCAGCCGCGGAGGTCCCAGCGTAGGAGCCGACGAGGGGCCGCTCCCAAGGCCGATCAGACAGCTCGTAGACCGAGTTGGAGAGCCTAGGCAGGCGTACATACTTCGTCGGACCAGAGAGAGGACCAGAGTGCGAATTTCATTCACCGTATAATGTAGTTGATTTCAAATGACGTCGAACGAGACTAGTATCGCATTGTTGATTCCGCGGGGTAGGACGGAGGCTGTATCATAAGTATTTGCATGTAGACGCATCGACATCCGCGAATGATTGAATCTGTCAAATGTCCGACGCATGTCGGTCATTACGATACACTCGGAACAAGACTCGAATGACAGCACCTAACTCCACAACAATCCGATGGCAACCCCGTTGTTGACGTAGAGCGACAGAGAGGCGATACAACACAGCGGTCAAGACATGATATGGCAACTGCCAACCATCCTCCACACGTCTGTATAACCACGCGGTACGCTATCAATTATCGGACAAGACTTCCACCGGCGTTGCCTCCAAAAGTGGCTTTTTCTTCTTTTTCTTCCTCCTGCGCTTCTTGCTCGAGGCCTCCACAGCTTCTGTCTCTCCTGGAGGCCCATGGAGATTGAGCAGCGGAACGCGTGGGTATGGATTCGCCCGCGAGCCGGACACAGACGGGCCAGATTCAGTGAACAGAGAGTGTTTCATAATGATCGATGACTTCTCAGAAGAGAGACTGATGACTGCAGAGTTACAGAATGAGAAGAATGTGCACGCAATCCATCGTCAAAACGTACCAGATGGTGATCTCCCCTTGTTAGTGGAGTCCACGCGCAACTGGTTATGCACCCTGATTTGATGCGAAGCTGAAGCCACTCGCTGGCCCTCGTCGTGAGCAAGCACTGTGGGTGCAGCTGGCAATGGCAATTCAGAGGTTTGCGCGGCAGGAGAGCCCGTGAGATCAATAGCGGCAGTTTCATCACGATGTTTCCTCTTTCTCTTCTTCGACTTGCGTGCCGGCGCGTCTGATAGAAGGGTGATGTGTGTCCCACTGAGCGTACTCTCGGAGGAGCTATCGCCGATAGACACAGCTCCGAGGTAAGACTTTTGCTTGTCCAGAGTAGGGACGGGACCATGAGAAGTCGTGGAAGTGGAAGGAGCATTGGGCTGGTCTTTTTGCGCCTTCTTCCGTTTACCCTTTTTCTCAAATGGGTCTACTCTAGCTTTTTTCTTGATGATACTGGCCCTACTCTCGTCCTCGTCGTCGGACAAAACGACTACTGCATGCTGTGCGTCGTCTCGGAGGCGCTTTTTTCCAGAACTTGCCGCTAGCTTGTTTTTGAGGCGAGCAGTGTCTCGACTGAGCAAGGATGTCGACTCGGGGACTGCTGCTCCTACACCAAGTCTACAAGCCAGTCGGTCAGCTCGGAGTGACTGGATCTCGCAACAAAAGGCGACATACCTAGGGGGTCTGCGCATATATTCCTCGAGTTCCTTCTCTTCATTTCGACGAGGTCCAGAGGAAGGAAGCTCCCCTTCAGACGATTTCATCCACGATGAGACCAAGTTTTCTGTATATGCCATGGAGACGTCGACTTGAGCCTGTAGGGTCTCGAGGTCGATATCATCATCGTCAGCAACATCTGCCATAGAATATCGTGATGAGGATAATATAGGTGTAAGGTCGCTGCAGAGGAGAGACTCTTCAAACCTAAGCTTGAATATTGTCGAGTCCGAGCTCAAGTTCGCTCTTCAATCACCGAAGCGCTGAAGAAGCGCTCGAGCTTAACGAGACTCTACACTCCGCACTGCACCTACCGTCAGTTCTTTTCTAAGTCGACTACTTACATGGCGACGAAGCGAAAGTTCACCGATGCGGATCTCTCAGATGACGAGGACCTGTCTCCGGGAAAGCAGGTGCTGCCAGTTGCAAACCTGCCTCTCAATTTCGATGGCGTACCAGTAGATGGGATGCAGTATTTATTCACTGTCAGGTGCGGTGCACACATCGTACACTCTTGTATACTTCCTTACACACAGCAGGCGCGATGCTCGCAAGCTACCCAACTTCACGCGCGTAGCAAATCCCTACGAAATTGGAGAGGAGTCTGTTGTCGAACAGGCCGACGCGAGCCCCAATCCAGCACATTCGCGCCTCCCTTCAGAGGCATGGCGAACAAAGTTCTTATGGCGCTTCAAGAATTTTCGACAGGTCTCACTACTCTGTCATGACGTGCATTCTTATACTAATCAGCGCGAACAGAACTCGTTGCAGTCGACAACGCATGCGCACGCCCCTGCTCTTAGCTCATCGCGTAAGGTAATTCCGGACAAAAAGGAGCGCGATTTATGGTGGGCCTTTCTTCGAGGTCGCCCCTCGTCCGAGTGGGATCCTCCAAAGCAGGTAAAACCTCCAAAGCAGAATCGGTATAGCCGAGGGCGAGACGACAGGTTCGGGGGAGGAATGCGGGGGTTCTCGGTCGACTACTATTCTGCCGAATCCCTGTATGGATCCCAAGAACAGATGCCGGTATTGTCCACGTCTCCTGGCCTCTGGTCTCCAAGTACGAAGCCTCCGGCTGGGTCTGGAAGTTTGTCAGATTCTTCAACAGCCATGCCTATTTTTTCAGAGATTCCGGTGCAGCCAGACACCAGAGAAGAGGCGAGCGTAGCGGTACTTCGTTCCGAGGACTCTGATCCGCAGCCGGACGCGCCTCCGGAACCGACGCCTTCGCTGCTGCAACATATTGATCATGTAAGTCGTATCAATGCTCCCGTTCTCCTTCTGCTCACGGCATCCACAGCGTTACGCTCTGCATTTGCTCATGTACTTCACGCACTGGATCAATCTTCACTTCGAACAAGGTCCTGAGACGTCATTTCAGTTCACGAATGCTCATGCGCGCTGGATCTTTGTTCTGTTGTCTCATGTGGAGGACTACATTACTGCAGATGAGACAAGCTTACTTCGCAATCTCGCTCGAGCGTGTCTGTCTTTGATAGAAGAGAGGGAGCGTTTGCGCACCAGGTCATCTACCGACGAAGGCTCGTCTGATGGCCAAACCCATATGGATGAGCGCTCATGTTGGATGGTTGTCACTGCAGTGGCTGGAATCTGGGGCCAAAGGGATCTTTGGATGGATGCTGAAGCCATGTTGAGCACGATAGGCACTAGTCAGGAATGAATCATGTATGTGGATTTGCTTAGTATGCTTATGGGCCCGGCTATGGCTGAACGGTGCTATCATCCAGAAGGCAGGCTTGCCCATCGATCTAAGTCTAAGTTCTGAGTTGCAGGGGATGGCAGATTTTTTGGCATAATGTCCTGCTGAAGAAAGGTAGAGTGGCTGATGCCTGAATCTGTTACGGTTGCAGGAGTCGGCTTGGCATGGGGTGGATGAAGGGTATTCTGAACGCCGACCCAATCTCTGACGAGCCAGATATGCATCGGACTGTAAGAGGGGGGTAGGCTGGAACACAAACGCGGTGCCGATGTCGTTGCGGTTGTGCAGGGACAAAGGTCTATGCGATGTGGGAGCAGTTCTTCATGGCTGAGGTGCGCGACTTCTCTTCGTACGCCTTGGGTCTGTTCGTAGCAAGTTCGCCTTGGATTTGTTCGCGGGGGCAGGGCGGCCAATCTCGATCGAGGGCTGGATGTCAGCCAGCGGAGGCGTGAGAAGGACGAGTGCGGCGTGCAGATGCCGCCAGGCGTTCTGGATCTGTCAGTACTAGTGGGCGTTCATACACGCTACTTAAACCGCACTGCCGCACGCCCTCGGTCGTTTCCCCGGCTCCCATCCAACCAGTCGACACACTCCCTCTCGACCTCTTTCTGTAGAACGCCCCCGGACGATCCTCCGACGACCGTAACGCCCTCCACAACCACGATCATGTTCACCTCCCTCGTTCTGCTCGCTGCTTTCGCCGCCTCGGCGGTGGCTTTCACCGTCACTGCTCCCACCAACAGCACGCCCTGGTCTACTACTGGCTCTAACACCGTGTCTTGGACCTCGGTGTCCACCGATCCGTCCACTTTCACTCTCGTTCTCGTCAACGAGGTCTGTCCGCCTTTTCCTCTGATACGATCTCGCATGCCGACAATCCTTTATTACTACAGCATGAGTACCCGGTCTTTCAGCAAGTCCTCGAAAATTCTGTCCAGGCAAGCGCTGGCTCTGTGACAGTGAATGCGCCCAGTGGAGGCTGGAAAGCCGGTGCCGACTACCAAGTCAACATTGTTCAGGACACCAATAACCTCGACGCTATTCTTGCCCAGTCTTCCCAGTTCACCATTGTCGAATCTTCTTCTAGTTCGTCCACCTCCTCGAGCTCCTCCACTACGTCCTCATCGAGCACCACCACAGGCACGACGACAACGTGAGCAGTTCTTAAATCCTGTACATTTGATGTCTTGATCGATACATTCCCTTCTGCAGTACTGGAACTAGTACAGGCACGACGTCAACGTGAGCGGTCCTTTTGTCCTCTATGTTGACATCCTTA